ACTGACACACACATGTCACTACAGACAAGCTCACAGTCACACACATGCTTACTACAGACAAACTCACTGACACACGAACATGCTCACTCTCTTGCAGACAAACAAAGTTCACTCACTAGCAGGCGCACACACACACACACAAACTCACTCACTAGCAGGCATACACACACACAGAAGCTCCCTCACTAACAGGCACACACACACGCAGAAGCTCCCTCACTAGCAGGCACACACACACACACACACACACACACAGAAGCTCCCTCACTAGCAGGCACACACACACAGAAGCTCCCTCACTAGCACACACAAACACACACACAGAAGCTCACTCACTCACTAGCAGATAAACACACACACACACACACACACACAGAAGCTCACTCACTAGCAGATGCACATACACACACACAGAAGCTCGTTCACTCACTAGCAGATGCACACCCACATAGAAGCTCACTCACTAGCACACACACAAAGCTTACCTGGCACTGGTAGATGAAGATGTCATTGTCTCGCCTTTTCATTTCAGCGAGGTCAGCAGCTTCCATCTGAGGAGGGGCTTGTGTTTGGGAGGCAGGGCTCAAGTGCAGGGACGGGGCATGCGGCCATAATTGCTGTAGACCGTGCTGGGAGACTGACAGGTCTCCCTCCGGCCACACCAGCCTCCAGCTCCTCCCTTATTACTCCCCATCGGACTGACACAGGCTGGCACAGTAAGAGGGAAGAATCATTTAAATGACATGTCCCTGATGATTAGGGCTGTCAGCCTAGCCCCAGGTGCCACGGCCCACCGGGAAATTTCCTGGTATCCCGGTAGGCCAGTCTGGCCCTGCACCAGGTTCCCTAGTCCATTGGCTGCAGAACAATGTCCCATTTTCCTAAATATGTATATGTATTAAATAAGTAAATGTATTTTGTGTTTCTTTTCACATATTGTCTAGCTTATACACTAAACTAATTAGTTTCCTGATTGAAAAAGGACAAGCACTGGAGCAGTGATACAAATTGGATATTTGATTTACACTGGAAAGTAAAGCAAGACGGAGGGCTTGTTTTTTACAGTAAAGAGGTAAAAAGAAACAATTTGAAGAGACGCAATATCTTATTTTGTAGCAAACAAAAACAGGCTAGTGGGAAACAAATTGTTGCTTTATTTAAATGCAAATCTAATTATTACATTCAGAGAAAATGTTTGTTTATTTAATTAGGAAGCTGTAATTTAATTTAGCATGCAAGGGATTAAGTAGCTATTTTACTAATTTATACTGATATATACAGGGTAATTCACTACACTCTGAATGCCAATGTTCTTGCTATTTAACAAAATCTGGATTATGCAGAGATGGCTAAGAATGAGCCTGAATTTGGTCTGGATTTCAACCAAGCCGAATTCTGACTGACTGAAATTCATACCCAGATTGCTAAAATCTGAGCCTGGAAACTTAAAATCCTTGACTGTTTTTTTTTTTTTAATTATCCAAACGATTTGCCCAGTGAAAGTGTTTGCAGCCAGCAGGAAAATAGTTAAATAACCATCAGTGGGCTCAGCTTGAGGGTTAACCATGTGGGTGCTGACCAATGCTTGCTTTAAAATATATATAAAAAAATATAAATATATATATATATATATATATATATATAAACAAGCCTATGAGGGTCAGACTAAACCTAATCAAGGTTGTAGAGCTCATATGTACTAAACATTAAAAACTAGCAACAGCCCCATTGCCCATGAAGATGGGTCCTGTAAAATAACACAGGAGACCTACAAGCCAAACTAATCAGGGCGCTCTAGTGAGATTTGTAACATAGAGTATATATATATATATATATATATATATATATATAGTTAATACATTGCTAAATACAAATACACACACCAGTCAAGCCATAAGACTTGCTTTTCCCACAGAAATCTTTAACTTTAACAGTGCTCATTTGCATACACCTACCCAGAATCCCTTGCAGTAGTGAGAGCACTATTAAAGTGAGATTTCTGTGGGGAAAGCAAGTCTTATGGCTTGACTGGTGTGTGTATTTGTGTTTAGCAATGCATTAACTATTCACTTACTTCAGGTTGAAGGGGTTTTCATCCACACTTTGTTCCCCACCACAACTGTGTTGGTATGTGTGTGTATGTATGTATGTATATATATATATATATATATATATATATATGCACACATATATATACACAGTGAGGGGAAAAAGTATTTGATCCCCTGCTGATTTTGAACATTTGTCCACTGATAAAGAAATGATCAGTCTATAATTTTAATGGTAAGTGTATTTTAACAGTGAGAGACAGAATAAAAAATAATCCAGAAAAACACATATCAAAAAGTTAGAAATTGATTTGCATGTCAATGAGTGAAATAAGTATTTGATCCCCTATCAATCAGCAAGATTTCTGGCTCCCAGGTGTATTTTATACAGGTAACAAACTGAGATTAGGAGCACTC